TCATATAAACATCATTTGAGACCGAAATTCGATGTTTTTATGTGTTCATTACAAGTGGTATTAACCTGCCAATATCTGGTACTAAAACACCGAAAGATGGTACTATCGTACCCCAGGTCTGGTACCAATTATTGCAAATGTTTACCACAATTTCATAATCTATTTTCATTGACCAAAAGCTGGTACTAATCGATCAAAAACAGGTACCACGTATAAGAAGATGCGGTACTATATTAGCTAAAACAAGTACTATTTTAAGAATCGTAATTTCTCTAATCTTTCATGTCTACCATGACACGTGGATCGTTCATGCGTGATTTGGATGAAAAATAGTGGAAGTTAAAACATATAGGTAGAATTTGGAGTAGTCATGTATGATGATTCTATGAGATGAAGTGTGTCATTCAATGAAATGACGTGTCTTTGTAGTGATTTCTCATTAGTGTGTTGAGTTTGTGACCAATTTGCGATTAAACTTAATTAAACACGTTATAAATCTCATAGGAAATAATGTGAGAATGATTATTGGTCATATAAACATCATTTGAGACCGAAATTTGGTGTTTTATTATGTTCTTCGGAGTTGGTACTAAAGACCCGATATCTGGTACTAAAACACCAAAAGTTGGTACTATCTAACTCCAGGTCTGGTACCAATTATTGCAAATGTTGACCACAATTGAATAATCTATTTTCTTTGACCAAAAGTTGGTACTAATTGATCAATAAGTAGTACTGCGCAGAAAAAAAGTGGTATTATTTGCATCAAAGTAGGTACTATTTTACAAAAATCGGTTTTTTTTTTTTTTACGTTCGTCGGAGTTGGTACTGAAGACCCGATATCTGGTACTATAACACCATAATTGCGGTATTATCTTACTCTAGGTCTGGTACTAATATTGGAAATGTTGACCAAATTTGAAGTAATCCATTTTTTGTTCTTTCTACAAAGTACGTACTAATTCATCAATAACCGGTATTATATAGAAGAAGGAATGGTATTACTTGTTGAAAAACTGGTATCATTTTACGAGATTCATTTTTTTTTTCTTTTATGTTCGTCGGAGTTGGGTAAAAAATATTGATTAATATAGGTAGAATTAATAATTAATATACTAAATGAACCGTTCGCGCGTGATTTGGTTGAAAAAAAGTGTATTAATAATGTTTTCTGATTAGTATGTCGAGTTCATGAACAATTTGCGATTAAACTCGATTAAAAACATTTTAAATCTCATAGAAACTAATGTGAGAGTGATTATGGGTCATATAAACATCATTTGAGACCGAAATTCGATCTTTTTATGTGTTCATTACAAGTGGTACAAAAGACCCAATATCAGGTACTACAACAATATAAAACTGGTACTATCTTACTCTATTTCTCGTACTACTTTTTGTAAATGTTGACCAAAATTGAAATAATCTATTTTCCTTCACAAAAGTAGGTACTGATCGATAAAAAACAGGTACCACGTAGAAGAAGATGCGGTATTATTTTTGCTAAAACAGGTACTGTTTTAGAATCGTGGTTTTTTCTCATCATTCAATGAAATGAATTGTGTTATTTAATAAGATGAAGTGTAGTAGTCGATATTTTCGGTAACACTAAAGTACGAGATCGAAACCAAAATCGAACAGACTAGTAATCGATAAACGAGTTTCAGTTACCGAAAATACGGCTCGGTTTTGGTTTTGTACCGAAAAATCTGAAAATTGCAAAAATTCATCACTTTGATCAAAATTAGATTCCCAACAGAACATATGCCCCTTTATTTATCACTAGTAAAGGAAAAATTCCAAAATTCAACACATTGATAAGATCCAATCATCCACCAATATTATCACAACATGCAAAGAAAGAAAAAATTGTGTGACTACTAAAACTGAGTGGTTGAATGCAACATGTTCCTGGTGGCTCTTAAGCACCCATTTTCTTTTCAAAGCAGCTCGTGAGACATAATAAACAAATTGAGTCTATAGAATATGTCACTGTGGATGCCATCTGCCACGATAAGCAACCACAACAAAAATAAAGTAAAAACATTCATGCTTAGCATGAATGGTGAAAACATTGATACTGCATTTCATGGTGTTGATCTATGCAACTGTAACAATAAGAGAAAATGATACACTGCTATTCTTATCAAGGATCATACTTAACTGTTTTCAAGGGAATGATTGCAATACAAATTTCCAATACACAATGTTAATATTGAAGACCCCACCAACAGAGGTGCATGTGTATTTCCATGTTAATATAATTGCACCCACTAAACAGAACTACTCCCTATAAAGACCCCCTATAAATGTGGATAAATCATCAATAAAACTACATAATAAGTCAAACCAAATCGGCTCATAGCATGCACCACTTCAGTGTCAACATAAGATTTTGTTCAAGGCGAATTCCAAGCAGATAGAAAACGATAACGAACATCCCCAATTCAAAACACCTCGAGAACTATGCATAAAATATCTTTTGACCTGCACAAGTTTTCATAGCGCAATGTGTTCAACGCATTTCACGATCACCAGAGTATATGAACATAAAAAAAAATATCGAAACAAATAGCCAAGAACTTTAAGTCAAAAGGGACCTTGCGCAAATATGTCAAAAAGTTCTACCAATACCACCACATACATACACACAAAATAATTAAACAACCAATACCACCACATTTACAGATCAGAAAACTCATTCCATGACTTATTTTTCAAGATTTTATCCTTTATCTAATGACACAGCTCCATAATGTCACTCATGAGTCATGAGTGTAAAACTACCAACAAAATTGGGCTAAGATTGCACAAAGTGATCAGTGCAAAAGAGAGGGAGGTTTTATTAATGTAAAACGTAAACTAATATTCTATTTAGAATTAAGTACAAAATCAAGATAATTTTCTTCAAGCTTACCATATAGAGTCTGCGAAGATGAAGCAAGCAAGGAAGGCCAGGATGCCAAACTCCAGATCCTGCTGCAGCCTCTCCTCCGTCGGATGGTGACCCGACGCTGTATGTACGGCACGCCGACAGTCAAGCCGATATCCACCTGGTGAATCATTTTTATCAACAGATCGAACCCGCAGCACCGATGCGCAGATGATCCTCCGGCCACCATAACGGATGCGCGGGGGTAAAATCGGACGAGCTCTGGGAGGAGGAAGAAAACTTAGCCGCCGTGATTGATGATGAGTGAGGGGACGAGGAAGAAGATGAGAGATGGAGCAATGATTTGAATCAAAAAATGGAGCAGAAGATGAGATGGATGAACATCACTCACGAATTTGAGATTAGATTTTTTAAGAATTGGGGATCTGGGAGAGTCCCAGTGTTTTTTCNGATGGAATTTTCAGAAAGGAAGAGACGATTGACGATTCAATTTTGAGAGAGATAGAGACGGAGATGCAAGGAGAACAAAGAGAGAGAGAGAGAGAGTTTTTTTATATTTGAGACAAAATAAATGAAAAATAATATCATTATTATATATATAGGGAGTGATTTGGAAAGAAAAAATAAAATTAGGGAGTGCAGAGGAACAAATTTTATGTTGGGAACTGACAAGGAAGATGAAAAGGGAAAGAGGGATTTAACTTGAATTTACCGCAAAATTATGACATATGACATTTAAATTAATTTTGATTTATTCTTAAAGAAAAATCATTATTGAATGAATTTATGGAAAAGAATTAGAGTCTCTCGACCTTCTCTCTCTAAAAATCCCCAAATCAATTCTTTGACCTAGCTTTCGTCTTCCTCCTTGGGATTGCCTCCCTTCCGGTAGCCCTGGTTCCGGCAGTCCCGGCGAGCGACTAGTTCGCCCTCGGCCCGACGACGCGTGGCTATGGCGGGCTCGCGACTCTTCCTCTCCAAAGTGGGTCGTCTCTCCTCCCGAGTGCCATGGAGTGCGGAAAGCGATGGGCTTCGCCGGTGGTTGGGCTCCGACGGACGCCGCGGGCTTTCCATTGCGGTGGTCTAGCCTTGGTCTCCCCCTCTCCGGCCGTCCCTGGTGTTGGGAAGGTGCGGTTCTCCGGCGGCGCGTGCATAGGTACGTGATGGCCTGGTGTGTGCATGGGAGGGGCTGTGGAGTGGACCGACCTAGGCGGGTCTGCGGATTTCTGAAGGCTATTTTAGGCTATCTCGGGCTAAATGCCTATGAGATTAGTCCTCCCAACTAAATTCAGCCTAGTAGCTATTTTATTAGACTATTTAAGGGTGATTGGATATGAATTCAACTAGTAAAAAATTAGTTATTTTTTAACTATAGTTGAGTTTGAAAAAAATAGTATGGTTAGTTGTTAGTGGATATATTAAAATAATATTTAAATAAAAATAATTAAAGTTGATTTGATGAAAAAGTGGGACAAAATGATTGAAAATGGTGGTTAATTAAAATTATGTGAGTGGATGTATAGTGAATTAAAATTGATGTGATGTGTAATAATGATTGGTTGATATTATTTAATTATATTGATAATATTAGAGATAGTGGAGTTGAGTTAAAGTAGAGTTAAATTTGAGTTTTGATTGGAATATTTANATGTTGTTACTTTGAATAAAGTAAATATTAATTTTTACTTATAATTTACAGCATAGTAATATATAATAATAATTATTATTATTATGAATTAAAACATTTATCATAATATTCCCTATCTTGCAAGTTGTATGCCACCACTACCTCCCGGCAATCACTGTCGCTTGTAGTATCCGACTTCTTACTTGCTCCCCTCCCACCCTCTCCACCCAAGTCCCAAGCCACTACCGCCTCCCATGACCTTACAAAATCGCGCAGTTTAGTTGCTATAACATTATCTAAAATCCGTAAGTTAAATTTTCAGGAAAAAAATTTTCTTAAAAAAGCTTTTTTCTTAAAGAATATAAAGATAAATTTTCAGGAAAAAAATTTTCTTAAAAAAGCTTTTTTCTTAAAGAATATAAAGACCTATTCGATTGAATCTGTCAATAGACAGATGACATATTAAAACTTTTGGAATGCGCGCCAGTGAGTTGGAAACTTCAAATGGCGATTTCTAACAACTCAGTTGTTCAAAATCAATGGGTGAGCTTTTACTTTGTTCCTCGTTTTGTGGGGGAGGTTTGTGTGATTTAAGGCTCTATAATTGCCCGTATGAGGATTATTATTTGTGTTTTGTGTTATCCTGGACCAGAATAGAGTCTTTTACGTACAACATTTCCATTGAATACACAACGTAAATTTGTTGCTACAAATCCGCAAGAAAATGAGTGAAACCATGTTTCGGCCATTAGCTTGTCTCTATGAGAACTCCCAAATTAGCGAGTTCATTGCGTAATAATTCCACATTCTTGAATTGAATACCATTGAAACCAACATCAATTGCAGCCTCCACATTTCTCATCCTGCACCAGTTAAATAGGATGCGTATTAGTGATAAACCATCAAGAATCACTAGCATGCTTACAAATATAAAAAAATAATAATAATAATAATAATAATAATAATAATAATAATAATAATAATAATAATAATAATAATAAAGTAGCATGGATATCCATCAAAAAAAAAAATTGCAATTATTATCTTGTAATTCACTTGTATGTAGTCCCATTAAAATTCTTGCACTTCAGTCCCAATAGAAGATCGCTCCTTTAAGCTTGGTCTGGTTATTATGATTTACATTTTGGACTAGATATGAAACATTTGCTTCTTACGTCTCTCTCCTCAATGTTCAGTATCAGGACCAAAACTGGAATGTATGGGACCAAAAGTACGGGACAAAGAGTGTACTATTCATATATAAAAAATGTGGTGAAAATGAATAAAAATCACTGCACCCTTACATGAAGTTGCCATGGCGGAAATTCGATAACACTACATCAATTATGATGGTCGTCATCTTGTGGGCTCTTTGCTATTGTTTGGACCAAACCTATGGGAGAATCATGCTTCAAAGAATTTCAAGGAATCCTTCTTTCGTACTTTTAGCAGTGAGTCGAGCACGAGAACCATCAACCAGTTGATTTATATATTCTTCCCCTAGAAACTCGTACAACGCGTTATTCAAAGTAGATAATATTTTACTCTTTGTAATAAGTAAAAATCATGGCCTACTAATCCGAAATCGCCTACAAAGTCCCGATTTATATTATGTCCTTTTCTAAGAGGTCGTGATGATAAGCTCACCAGACAAAAGGCAATTTCCATTGTCACTAACTCTTCAATAATCGGATTATTTATGTCCATAAAATTCATTGTCAGATGATGAACTCGATAAAAAGGTTGGTCATGGTGATTTAAAGAAAATGTTGGTAACAATGGAGTAGTTTTTTTGCGTAAATTTGAGAGTAGATCTACGAATGGTTATGTTTGTGTGGAGAATGGGGTGATATAATGTGATTTTGATACGGCATAGGGGTGAAAAGGCAGAAAAACACAGAAAATGAAGTGTCATACTTCTTGTTTTCTCTGATTCTTAGATATTTTTTTAGTATTTTGGAAAACTGTTATCTTCTGGATGGTTAAGTTCATGTTTCTGTGGTTTTTTTTATTTAACTTATAAATGAAAAATAAAAAATATTAAAAAATGATGCAAGGAAAACTAGTACATGATCTCGCCCAATGTCCCAGTGGCCCTCACATATGCCCAATGTTAGATGTCCATCAAGTTAGGACTGATGTCTGATTTAGGAAGGTTGTGCATTAACAAGCTAAAGTATATACTCTTTCTTTCCTCTCCAGGCTGGAGCTACGTTTACTTTTGGACTGTCTGAAAACTTAATTAGCCTACTTGGAAGACTACATAATAACAAGAATATTGTAATATTGGTAGCCGGGTACTTTATCTGCCCTTGGGAGCCCAAGGTCAATATTGAAATAAGACATAATAACAAGAATACCTGTCATCAATGAAGATACAACATGCTGGCTCCACATTTAAGTGCTTCAAAATATCCATATAAAAATCAGGATCAGGCTTCCGTTTTCCTGCACATACCAGAGTTCATGATTGCCATGAATTACGAAAGGACGATTAACAGAGAAAATATAAATGTATTGCTCTGGTAATATTTCCCAGGTCTCACATTTATGCATTTTAACAAAAAAGTTCAACTTTCATCCGCTTATTCGATGCAATGACTCATACCAAATGCAATAACAAAAAGAAAATATAATCACTCGAGTATCCTTCAAATTAAAGGGGACAAGGCTATAATATTCCAACATATTTTCATTTATTGGCAATAACTAAAGATCACATGCATATTGGTTGTGCTAAAAATTGAATCCAAATGTAGACGACCTAAAAGGCGCGGAAGATAAGATACCCATTAAGCATGAACAGAAGGTCCAGGATAAGAAGGTTGAGAGTTTAAGCTTTTCTTCAATAATTTCATACCTGCAAAAGAAAACAAAAAATATGTTGCTACATCGAATAACTTTTTAGAGCTTCCACTAGAAGATGCGGTAGTTAACTATACCAGATGGGATAATTAGTACAAGCATGCATTTCATATCCATTTTTCTTCAGATCAGCCAGTAATTCTTCGATTCCTGGGATATAGGTATATCCTTGTCTCATGCAGCTTTTGAGGCCTGCAAAGAGGCAATTCTAATTATAGAACTATAATATAATTATTAATTTATAATACATCAAAAGAACTCAGGAATTCTTGGATAACAATGGACAACTATGGATAATGATAATTCCTCTGATATTTTCAAGTATTACCGTTATACTTCCAGGTTGAAAAGAGAGTGCATGTTTCACAATAGAAATAATCAAAACTGATAAAGTAAAATAATAGGAGCAAAGGTATGAATTTGTGATTTTTTAAGGGAAAAAATATTTACTGATAAGTTATTAATACAATTAAGTTCTATTAAAAACTAGCATAAAAATCAATTACATGGTTCGATTTTAGAATAAATGTGCAAGTAATACTAGAACAGCTCCAACATGTTCATCAACTAGAAATCTTAATACTATTGAGTATATTCATTATCTATTGAATATCTCATGATATTCATTGATTCAAACAAATGCTATATATTATCAATATATAAATGAAAATAGCAACAAACAACCACATAAATGTTAAACATAAAGCTCAAAGTTAGGAAATAAAATAGAAAAACACACCTAAAATAGTGACCTCGAGATTGAAAGTTATTATATGATGTTGCTATTTTAAATTTAAGACCCATTTGGGAATCTTTCTAACATTCAAACATGTTTTCATAAAAGAAATTAAAAAGTGAGATACAGGTTTATCATACTATGTGGAATTTTCCTATTAATGCTTCATTTAATCATCCTGGCTATAAAATGAAAATCTAACCAAGGAAGGCCCACAATGAAATGATGACATAATAGAAGATGATTTGAGTAGTGTCTGCATCAGCTTATACCAGAAATATGTTGCAAAATAGGCAATATCATACTAAAAAATAAAATAATGATTCAAGAGAATTCATGATTCTAATTAATTCATATATTGCAGTCACCATGTAAAACGCACTGCTAGCAAAAACAGGTGGCAACAAATTGCTCTCAAGTTTCAACAGATATTCAATTACCTTCCAAATCAATTGGCCGTCCATCCTTGAAAAACATTCGTGCCAGCTCCATCTGAGAAAAAGTTACTTATATTATTTAAAAATCAGAACAGGCATGTGTGTGTGGGTATGTGTAACTTCTTAAAAGGCATCTCTTTCTCATATAATATCATGCAGAGGTAGTGAATGTAACTAATCTTTGTAACTGTTGAATTGGATATACAAAGGTGCATTAAGCTCAAGGATGAAACAACTGTTATGAGTTTTGTTAAATCCGAGGGAACATGAATTTAAGAGAGAAGTAGAGACCTACTAAGCACCAGACGTAGTTTACTAAAACCAATTGATGCTAGGCATATAAAGTGTTCTTCGTCATCCTAATTCATCCATGTGGAACAATATGTCAGTGACATACTTCAACAACTCCAGGCAAATACCAAGGCACAGAAATTATCTTCTTTCTTTTTCTTTTTTTTTCATTTCATGTTGTGAATTTGGAATGTTAATTGAACAGAACTTCGACTTGCACGAAATACAACAGAAGAGTACCATATGCCAGTCATAAGTCAGTGAAGGAAATTAAACTTATCCTATGATCAGAACTCTTACCTAATACCTAAATATATAAGTTCTCGTTCAAAATGTGTTGCCGGCCAAATCAGTTTCGGGCGCAACAAATTTTTCATATAGACTCTATCTGAAGGTAAAGTTTGAAAGTTTCTTCTATATACCTCACTAATGAGACCCTTCTCAAACTCAATCCAGGCAGTAGGATGCTTGCATTCAAGAAGTTCCTTCATCGACATTCTGAATGGCGGCACCAAAATTTCCAGAGCAAATCATATCAGAAACAAGTATGGTTAACACATAAATTAGACTACCTAAGCTTGACAGGGGATAGCATCAATTTAACGAAGGGAAGAAGCTATCATAAAATCTTGAAAACATTTTTACACTCTTCTATGACCATGCTTGAGCTTGGAATTGTTGAATGATTTTGCTATTTCTCCTATGATTTTAGCTAAAAGGCTCAGAACAAAGTAAGCCTAGTGCACTCTGGACGGACCAACACTGCATACACGTAACTCTGAACCATAATAATGCAGCTGAAAGGACCACATATCGTGCCAGTAGTTGTGAGGCCACTACTTGACAAGCCACAATTGATTACAATAGTTGGGAAATGGTAAACTTGGAATAATAGTCAGCTATGAAACAAATAAAATTCAAACTAACTTTTCCAGTAAGTATCTTGTATTATTTCATTGCATTTTTTCACATGCTTTTTACAAGAAATGTATATATTAAAATGTGGAACCATGATGGACAACTAGAAGTATTGTCCACCATTGAAGTACTTTCCACACAAAATTGCTTAAACATGGTGGGAAAGAAAAACAGACAGCAAAACATTAAACACGAATATAAAGCAACTCACATCAGTTGGTCCCACTAAAGATGCTCCAAGGAAGATAAAATATCTCTTTTCTATACTATCAACAGTCAATTTATTTCTTTCAACCAAAAGGACCATGTTACCAACTGGTTTAATCTCCCTTATCCCACTCAGAATCACAAAGATACTACATTACATAGAATCATGACCTTACCGAGAATGGTGTAATTGAAGAGCCAATTATTGAAATAATTGCATCTGGATAGCCAACACTAGTTGAGCTATTGCTTAATCAATTCTTATGCGAAAATGAAAACAACTCCATGAAAGTTAGAGATGGAATTTTGCGAATTCAAAGGATTCCAATAGTTTGTAGAAAGAGAGAAAGAAAATGGCAGTTGGTGAGAATACCCGAAGAAGGATGGGATATGTTGATAGAAAGGGTCGCGGACTATAGTATCCATGATGTCGAAAAGCAGTATGGGCTTTCTCGATTGAGAACTGCTTCTGACAGACATTCGCTTCGGAATGTTAGCTGAAGAAGAATATCGAGATGCTGTTGTTGTTGGTGTTGGCGGACGCCTATCCAGTTTGATAATCGGAAAGCTGCTCCACAACAATCTTTGAGCGCCCATTAACCGTCCGCAGCAATCCTTCTTTCCTTTCTTTTTGAGGAAACAGGCTGTTTGACTTTTTCACCCTTCAAAATGCAAACAAATTATGCAATATACTATGCTAGATAGTATGTTATGCAATAGACAAACGAATATAATAAATAAAGTATTAAATATTTATACGATAATCTATTACTGATGAACAAAGATAAATGATAAATAGAGAAATAATTATGCAATAGACAAACGAAAATAATCGAGCAAATGCGATCTCATTATGCGATAAACTATACAACAAGAAGGCAAAGTTAATTGGACAAGTGCAAAATAATTATATGATCAACATGGGACAGGAAGACGAATATAATTGGGTAAGTGCAAATTACTTATGCTACAAAAAATATAAGATAATTGGGCAAGTGCGAATTACTTATACGACAGACAGACGAAGCTAATCGAGCAAGGTTCAAAATACATTTATGCGATAAACTATATAACATAAATGAGAAGTTAATTGAGAAATTGCAAAATAGATATGTGATGAACTATGTGACAAACATGCGAAGTTAACTGAGCAAGTTTAAAAGAAATATGCGATAACTATGCGACAAGAAGTCGAAGTTAATTGAGCAAATGCGAATAGATATGAATAAACTATGCGAAAGAAAGACAAAGGTAATTGAACAAGTGTGAAATAATCATGTGATAAATTATACAAAAGATAGGTCAAGTTAATTGAACAAGTGAAAAAAATATATATTTGATAAACTATACGATAGAAAGGCGAAGTTAATTGAGTAAGTGCTTAAACATTACGCAATAAACAACGTGACATATAGACAATTAATATGTAGAGATCTGTGTGAGCATTTCGGCCAATTGTGAGTCTATCGCATTTTAGTCGTAAATCAATTTATTTTAAATAATTTATTTATTTTTTATTAAAATATGCAACTATTAGGAGAATTGTTATACGCATAATTAATCGAAAATTAATTTATTTGAAACTTTATTTTTGATAAATTTGTACTCTGCGATTATTACTCGAAAGTTGTTTCGACGCATATTTGTCGCATAGTTATTATTTAATACAAATGGAGAAAAAATCGTGTGGGCGATGATCTATCGATCTCATGTGGCCGAAACTTTCTCGTTTCTCTCCTCTTTTTCAAACGTTTGGGCATGTGAATTATGCTTGGTTTAGGAGCATGAGTTCCCCACATGGCTTATTTATAGTCTACAACAGAGACTCAAAGGAGGTTAGGATTAGGACTCCCAATGGGCCAAGAAATACTAGGGATATGGAACAACCTATTTCTTGGTTCATTAATAACAAATAATTCCACAAAATATTTATTATTGTACTTCATTTTTCCTCTCCCCAATTTAATGGGTTCCATTATCCTCAACTTATCTTCCCATACTAAAGATATAACATCCATTAATTAATTTAATTACTGATAATTTAATTAAGTAATTTCTTGATGTTCCGAGACTAGTACCACTCAATCTTTATTATTATGCCAGAACAAAACCCGCCAGCAACGCTTGACCTAATAAATCTTTTGAGCTCAACTCGTGGACGTTATCAACCTGGTGCACTAGTATACATTGATAGAGTATAATCGACCGTACACCATGTGACTAATAATAATTCTCAAACTCATCGAGTTATTGACCTAGCGAAATAAGTCTCAGCCTTTGATAAATCAAATAACAAATATTAAGCACATGTGTCCATCATTATTAAACGGTACGAGCGCTATCATGAGGTCTAGTTTATTTATTTGGTGAGTAAATAAACTTCTCTGTTGTGGTTCGTTCAATACACACAAAGTGTACTAGTATAATTCATTAATTAAGATAAACTAAGTCAAATTATATAATAACCCTGCCAATATGTTTGTCTATTTCTATCTCGGTTAAGAACCTTATTTATATTGCAAAAAGAACCGATAAAATAATCTTATGTGCAAGAAGTGTCACAATATATTATCTTCAATGTGAATAAAAGGACAAAAGGCAAATTCATATATAAAGAAATTGCACAACATTGACTAAACATGATTCTTTCATATAAAACGGAAATAATATTCAATTGAAGCAATGCTTTCAGTATGCAACTTATCACTTTAACTGTCGGGTCGCACCCAACCCCAAGTCAACATGGCCTCATCCATGGGGGTGACCTCAACCACATTGAATGCACACAACATTGTGTTGACCTCCTTCATGTCAACTTCTAACTCTATTTATTTGAAACACTCATAAAATAAAATGTCTATCGAGCTCCCCATGTTAGTAAACACCCGTTGGACCTTATATCCGGCGACCTCCGCAGAAATAACCAACGTGTCATTATGAGGTGTATGTACTCCCTTTACATCGTCCAACTTAAACTTGATGACTGGATCCCTGGTGGTAAATCCGACCTCTTCTCTTTTTCTCTTTGTTGCTCGAGCATGTTGCTTCCTCACACTGTTAGAGTTCCCATCCGGAGGTCCTCTGAAAATCATGTGAATAACCCGTCTCTTGGGTGGTGCCATCATCTCTCCTCTGACCTTTCCTTTCTCTGTCCTTGTACACAAATTCTTTCAGATGACCCTTTCTGATCAGCTTATCGATCTCATTTGGGGTGTTTACAGGTTTCAATGGTGTAGACATAATCACGATGAAAACATCATTACAAGTCAGACTTCGGTTGTGTAGGATCATCCTTCCTCGACCTTGGATACATAATCATGTCCCGTCCAACCTTTTCTCCATTGTTTCCAACACATCAGCTGGGTTGGACCTTAGAGGGGTATATTTTCATACTTGTGGCCATCTCAGACCGGCTGACCTCTCCAACTGTCTTCCCGTTTTTCATCTGACCTTTCCATTCTATGTGAGTTTTTCCTTTCTCTTTTTCACTTCAGGTCGAGCTGCCTTCTCGATTTTTGCAAATTCGGCCTCTGTTTTCTCCATGTTGATATACTTGGCACACCTCTATAGCACATCATCATACGTCAGCGTCGACTTCTTAGCCAACGAGCTCCGGCATGGACCTGCTTGTAACCCTCTCGTTAGCCCTCCAGCCTTGACTTCCTCAGAGGCTAAAGGTACATCTACACATTCCCGGGTATAGCTAACTACATAGCTCTTCAGGGTCTCACTTTCTTGCTAACGCATCGCCATATGAGTGAGATAGGTCTTCTCCTGCGACTTAGCACTTGCGAAATGGTTGAGAAAAATAGTTGAGAAATCCTCAAAGTCTTTGATCGACCCTAAGGCACGCTGATGAAACCAGTCTTAAGCTTCTCCCCGCACGGTCTCCAAGAAGGCTCTACACCTAACTGTGTTAGTGTAATCATGCAAAACTATCATATCTTCAAATCTCCTCAACAGACGAGATGGTTCACTCGACACATTATATGTAATGTTAAGCTCTCTGAATCCATTATGTAGATCTGCATCGAGTACCCTTTAGGCAAAATTATGCCCTCGATCTGTCCCAACTGGCTTTCCCTCCACTTAAGCTTGCAGCTCATAGATCTGAGCCGCCATCTTCTCCACCGCTAGGTCATGTTAAGCTCTAAAGGTCGAGCTACTAGAGATCTCGATCTTCTCTATTTTTGTCAGTGCAATGAGGTTCACTGCACTTGACACATGTGGTTGTGGTTGAGCGAATCTGGCTGCAACGGCATCTACGATCATCTTGTTGAGCTCATCCCTGGTGAGCGTTAGGACCTTCTCGTCGGCTGCAACACCCTCTCCTGCCATTAATGACCTCCTCTCACCGCCCTAAGGTGGGCTTGGCTGCAATGATGGTGTTTGGACAATCTCCATGCCCGATCTACCTTCTTGTTGAGCCATTGGGCCACCAGCTGCTGCTACAGGTGCCAAAGAACCTCCAAACCCGAGAGGTTGGGAATAGTGGTCAGCGGTGTTTGACCAAACCTCAAAAAGCCTGGCGGTGAGCCTGCTCCAATCGGACGACTCAAAACCCGAGTCTCGTTGAAGCTGGGCTCCAGGTTCTTTATGGGATCATCGCTCACCATGGTAAGTGGTGTTTGATGGCTTTTTTAACAAAATTCCCACATACGGCGCCAAATGATAGTGCAAACAACCTCAACTCGGTCTGACGTCCTTGATTTATCCCTGAACCAGTGAAATTACCTGCAAAACAACGTCGGGGGTTATCCCGTTGTAGAAAGTCCGACGCTCAAGTCAGTATATAAGGAAGATGATGTACGTATACAGTGTATGTAAGTGTATAATGCTCATAATGTGTAGAGTTGAAATGCTTATACCCCACCCCTTTATATATGGTATTATCTTGTTGTTCAAGATCTGCCTGATCTGCCTGTCCAAGTGCCCGAGATGCCCGATCACACTAATTGGGTGCCCCGACTGCCCATTTCTATTAGCCATGTGGTCCTATCCATGTGCCCTTTTTATCCTAATTATATTTGTACTTTTTCATTATTCTAGTGTGTTCACATTAACCTACCTCATTAAATAGTTACTTAGATATATAATTTTGCTATCAGCTCCATTTTCTTTAAATTGGGTCATTCTTGTCTTCCATTATCCTAGTGAGTAAACCTGCTTCCTAGGTCCTAAAATCGACCTTTTCACTTTCAAGTCGAGTTTTCATCAGACTAACCGAAAGCCCTAGCTCGACCTGTTGTTGAATTGATTCTATCTCGAAGGTCATCATCGACTTGATACTTTAATAACCTCGGGTCTCTTTGTTGTCTGACTTCTAATCGACCTACTAGTCTACTTGAACCGTTCAAGTTGTTCTTAAATCGTATACAACCTACCTAAGGGGGTATAGTATCCAATATAAAATTTAGTCCACCTTTTATGAGGAAACAAGATTTTATATTAGATATGCATCTACATCACATAGGAATGTTCATAAAATATGCAAATATATCACACGACTAAACCAATCCATTATTTGAAGATACACAAATTAACAAGAAAAAGAAATGTCAAACTTAAACTAAACAGTGCGAAAACAAAAATTGATAATTAAAAGAAGAAGAAGATAAAGAAGGAAAGAACATAGAGACATATCTAAACAAAAATTAAAACAAAATGAATAAACAACACACTATGTATACAGTAGCTTGATATAATAAGAAAAGTAACATAGAAAATTGGCCATCATTATGCCCTTGGAGTTATCTTAGCCGTGAGGCTATTCTTCATAACCACAGTAAACTCAACCTTCTCAGCAAAATCCACCTTCCCACCTTCCTCCACGGAGGACCACTCAAACTCCTGCACCATTCGTGCCAGCATGAGGCTCACGTGCAGCGTAGCCATACTCAGCCCGGGACATATCCTCCTACCAATCCCAAACGGTATCATCTTCACCCCCGTTATTCCCGTCATATCCGCCTCCTCCCGACCCGACAAAAACCTCTCCGGGTCAAACCTCTCCGGGTCAGACCACAGAGTCGGGTCATCCGATATCCCCGGAAGAAAAAACTCCACATTCGCATCCGTCGGGATATCATACCCTCCTAGCGTGGTAGGCTCCGTCACAGCGTGAGTCAGTGAAAAGTAAGTCGGCGGATGCCTGCGCAGAAGCTCCTTTACAAACGCGTTGAGGTACGGCATCTTCTCCAAATCCCCTTCTTCCACCTTTTTTTCCCCGACCACTAATCGGATCTCGCTGGCGACCCGATTCTGGATCGCTGGATTCTCGATCATCCTCGCAATCGCCCATTCAACGGCGGTGGCCGTGGTGTCGGTCCCGCCGTTGAGAAACTCCGAGCAGAGGGTCACGATTTCTGGATCTGTCGGCCCAGATTTGCGTCCCTCGATTTCCAGATCAAAGAGAGTGTCGAGATACGAGAATGTCTGGTCGTTGGAGTTGCGGATGGCCTCGCGGCGCTTCTCGATTAGCGGGACAAGGGTTTGGATCTGCTGGTGCCTCACACTCTGCACCTTCTTCCACTGTTTGGGGAAGAAGAGGGCGAGTGAGGGGAGGTAATCGTCGAGGCGGGGATCGAGGACCATGAGCACGGATTTCATCATCTGATCCACGCGGTCGATTGTCTTTTCGTCCATCTCCACCCCGAAGCACATTCCCAGGAGTATGCAGAAGACGGCGAACCGGGCGTTTTTGAGAACGGCGACGGCGCCGCCGCCGAGGGCGGCGTCGTGGCGGAGGCGGGCGACGAGTTTGTCCATGGCGGCGGTGCGGAGGGCGCGGAAGCCGCGGAGGCGGGCGGGGGCGAGCATGTTGTGGACCATGTTGCGGCGGAGGGAGCGCCAGACGGGGCCGTAGAGGGCCGCGTTGACGGTGAACTTGTTGCAGCTGAAGATGGCGCGGGTGGGGTTCTCGCGGGGGCGGCTGGCGAAGACCTGGCCCTTGTCGATGAGGGCCTCGCGTGCGAGGTGGGCGCCGCTGACCACGATCATGGTGCGGGTGCCCATGCGGAGGGTGAGGATGGGGCCGTAGCGCGGAATGAGGTGGTCGCGGACGTATTGGAAGAAGGGGATGCCGGAGCCGGCCACCTGGAGGAGGTTTCCGACCACAGGGTAGCCGGGGGGGCCTGGGGGGAGATTTAGCTTCTTCGGGCGGGAGAAGAGGAAGATTACGAGGATGAGGGAGCTGAGGAGGACGCTGCTCAATCCTAAAAGGAAAGAATCCATGGCTGGGAGAGAGAGAGATAGAGGGAGAGGTTGAGAGTGGTGAAGTGGGTGTAAAGGAATTTGTAGCACGAGAGAGAGAGAGAGAGTTGAAATTACAGGTGGGATCAAATAATAGCATTCGAATTTCTCAACAGGAACAAAAAATTGTGGTGGGGAATTAATGCAGTTTGTTTACAGCCTAGAGTACTTGCTGGAGAGCATGGAGTTAAGCTGTTAATGGCAATACTAATAAATGACGACTAAGAAATAAATAAAAAGATGAAAAGGAAAACATTAGGGATACAGAGAAGGCGTTGGCTGGTGGAAGATGAAGGGTGTATACATTAATTATGCTCAACTCCCAAGTTCCACCAATAAATACATCAGTTAATGTTTGACAGGAACGGGAGAAAAAAGAAAAAAAAAGAAAAAAAATAGTAGTATGAGAAAACTGGACTTTTGGGCATATGTGCAAAACTGCAAATACACACCCACACACATATATGCACACGCATGCATATGTGTACCTGTAATTTCCTGGCCTGGCCTGGCCTCGGTCTCCAGGCAATAAGGTTTCAGCTAAAGTACTTTTTCTGTTGGGATAATTTCAATTTCGGATAATTTCAACCAATTTCAACATTTTGTGCAGCTAACCAAGTTATAAATGCGTATACACCTGATGGAATCTATCAAATAATTTCGGGTTTTTAGGTAACCTGTTCTCTTAAAGCTTGGTATCTCCGTCATCTAGATGAAGTTGATGATCTGAAAAACAACCATCGAAATGTGTTCGATGAATTGCACACTGACAATCAAATTAGTACAAGAATATGGGGAGATAATGTAATCTATATCTATAGTAATATAAAAATGTTGTTGGAAAAATACTTTTGTAGTAAGTTTGACTAAAAAAATAAATGATTTGACTTACTATTAGTGAATTTTTTGAAAAAAAAAAAAAAACAATTGAATCTTTAGGAATAAAATTTATTTGAGATATCTCAAAAAAATTGGAGATTCTTATGGTAATTAACAAATTTGGAGATTCTTATGCCAAATTTTAATTCATTTCTTAAATATGAATCCCATTTTTATTGGTAACAAATTTGAAATTTTTTATGCCAAAAAATGAGATATCACAACAACTACGGATTTTTTTCTATTCAAATTAATGTTGTAAATCAAACAATAAAGTGTTTCGAGAATAATGGATGATATAATAAACATTGATAAACTTCAATTCTCTGTAAATTATTTATATTTAGGAATTTTGTGTGCAAATATATTGATTTGCTTTTCGTAAATAATAATAAATTACATTATTTTATGACCTAACTTCTATTTTTTTTTTCTTGGTGGTTTATTTTCTTTAATTGAAATAATATATAACTTAATTGATTGAAACAACTTATTTTCCGTAATATAATCATAGAATATAAAAAAATATTTAATTTACAAAAATTCACGACTTAATCACGTCCCAATCATCATTAGATCCTTCTTATCTCCACTAGGTTCCTTCTTATCCCCTAAAATCTGTTTGTTGTGATCATCAGGTCATCGTTATTCTCTCCACAAGTCGTCAAGTCGAGCTGGTTCATTGGATCATCTCATTATAGGTCGTCCGATGGGCCTATAGGTCGTCCGAGGGCTTCTGGCTATTCCAAGGCCTCCAGGTCATCCATGTACTCCTGGTCGTTCGGTCTCCTCTAGACGGCCTTTGGGTCATCTCTTTAAGAGTTAGGCCATCTAACCGCCTGGTCGACTCATTCATATTTGGTGTTATTATGGTTAGCCTAGTTGTTGCTATATCATGAGGTATTAAATTTGTTTAACATTTGAATTTCTATAGATTTTGTAAGACGTACTGAGATATCAACAAATAAAATCCATATAAGAAATTGCACACCAAATTCCACCTGTTGACATAAGATTTATGAGGATTAGTCTTAAATTTGAATTTCTTAATGTCTTAAATTTCAGAGAGTTTTAAAATGTCACTTCAAATTCTAAACGAGTACACCCCAGTGGATTTTATATTGAGCTTTGAGTTTGTGAATGAAAATGAGTTAAAAAGTAATGATAAAAAATAACGAGTTGAAATGATTGGTAATTATAAATATGTGAGTGAATGAATAGTGAATTTTATTGAAAATTGTTTGGCATTGATTGATTTATATCATTTAATTATATTAATAATATTTATTAAATTTGAATTAAAAATTTTCTAGCATGTCCTTCCTTAAATCCACTAAACTAAAAATTGGGCTAGGCACCTCGCTTAGACGACACTTTGGCGCCCTGATTTTTGTCTAAACGACTATTTCAGGCGCTCAGAAGGGCTACGTAGTCCAAATTATTGTGAAATTAGTCAAGTATACACCTAGACGCCCGTATAATACCTTTTTTTTATTTTTTTTCAAAATATAATAGAAATAGATTTTGATTTTTATACATGAAATATACAAGAATTATAAAAAAATAATATTAAGAATTATGTAAAATTAATATAGTAATTATAAATATATATTATTTTGTGCTTAACCATACTAATTAACAGAATTTATATAATATAGTTTGTAAATTATTCATATCTATATATATATATAATAAGAATTATCATTTACCAAAAATAGTAGCAAAAAAATAGGTCAGAATTTAATGCAGCCTATATATAGTACGTTTTATTACTTTTCTTATTTCTTACTTTAAAAATCATACAACATTAAGTGCTACATTAAATTTCGGGCTTTATTTCATTTTATTATTTAAAAAATTCGGTTAAGATTTATTAAGTGTGTATGTTTTTGTTTTTATTTTTTTCTTAAAAACAACAAACAACATTAAAATTTCGGTCTCTATATTTATAAAATCTCAATTCCAGATATAACAAAAATTTTAGAATCTCGGTCTTTATATTTGTGCCGTTAAAAAAAATATTGAACGCTAAAAATATTCTTTAAATTGCATAATCAATTAATCTTAATTTTTTAAAAAATACTATGTTTGTTTTTTATTAATATGCATAAAGTAAATAATTAATTCATCTTTAGATATATAATTTATAATCTTCATATACTCTCATTTGGTGTAGACATTTATTATATGAATCATAAAATATTTTTATTTCATAAAATTAAATATATTTAAAGAAAATAAGAAAGTTTCTTCGGATCAATTGGGTGATTGAATTAGGGTACTGCCCAGGCTGATTGAGTTACTTTTAGGTGATATTTAAAATAGTTCAAAATCTTGACACAACTTGGTTGTTACCAGGTGACTAAGTTATGTATCAGTTCGACCACACCAAATCAATTATTGAACCTAAATATAAATTTTATATTGAAAATATGTTATTACGTGAATGTGGTGTAGTCCGAACTTAAAATAATAATATTAACAATACTTTTATGACAATATGTTTAATGATTTATGAATATTTATTATTTATATATCATTTTATTAATATTTATGTGAATTAAATAATATGTTATTATAATATTTATTAATGTACAATAAATATAAGTTTTGCAGAACTGGACCGAATAGTACTGAAATTCTTTTCGCCCGAGTTTTTCTTTTACTGCTATGGCTACCGACTTTTTAAAGGTGCCCACTGCTTGGATCGTCGCGCCGGCGTCACTTTCCTCGACGATCTCTCGTCAAATGTTACCGAATGGAAGTCGAAATATGTCTTTATTCGACCTGCTTTCGGCATGTATCCCTATGTAAATACTTGGATTACTTCGAAGGTAAAGCAAAATGAACGACCTCGCTCCAATGAGTTCGCCATGCTGTTGGCTGAGCTCAATAAGCACACTTACAGTGCTCGCCAATTGATTAAGGACCGCAAATTGGTCAATCATGCTCGCATCGTCATCTACGATGATCTTCCTCGTCTCGATGATCCTCGTAAGCTCTTAATATTTCTTCTTGTGGAGTCGACTTCAAATTTTAATTATTCGTATCACGACTGCTAACTGTTGTTTGATTGCTAATTTTCTCTTGTTGTATTCCAGTTAAAGCACTCAAGCGTTTTGAGTTGAAGAAGAAGCAGCCAGTCGGGCAGTCGGCTGGCGGCTCCGTTCCTCCCCCTCGACCCTCAAGCGGATCTGGGTCGAGGCCCGCCGCCGCGGCAGCCGAGACGACTGCTGCGTAGATGTCTAGGGTCGAGAACCTTAGTGCTGCCCAGCAGCATAAATCGGCGGGTTCTGCTTCTCGCAAGAGGGCCCAAGACGACCGGGCCGCCATTTTGATCCCCGACGACCTGAAACGCCGCAAGGTCGATAAGAGAAAAGGAAAAGCGGTCGAGAAGACGTCCTCTTCTTCCATCACCGTCAAGGATGTGACGGTGAAAATGCCTTCAAGGCTCTGGAACCACCCCCAGCCATATAAAGTGGCTAAGTATCTCAACTCCCTCATTCCCGAGGTCGACAAGGAACGCGTCGAGGGGAATCTCTATGAGCGTTCAAACTACGCTATCCAGTGCCTCTCCCGGATATTTCTCGTCCTTCAGTCGACTTAGTATTTATCATTTTCTTACTTTTCTCTTATTCTTCTTTTAATGTTCTCTCGCAGTTTCTTGCTGCTGCACTCCCTTGCCTCGAGGAAGGGAGTAAGGCTCCTGCTGTTTCCACCAAGTCCCTCGAGGACAAGTGCGAGACTCAGCGCCAGGAAATCGAGGCACTGAAAGAGGATCTAGAGGCCTCGAAGGCCCTTGTCGACAAGCTGAAAGCCGACAAGGCCGTGCCCTATCATATGAATGACAAGCTCAAGGTCGACCTCGAGAAGGCGCGCGATGAGTGCCTCGTCGAGTGGGAGAATGGCGTCGAGGAGGGGCGCAGGACCTTTTTGAAGTCCCCCATGGGTGCTATCTTCCTCGAGACCTACCGCCAAGAGGTCGTCAAGGCTTTCTGCAACTCCCCTGCCTTCCTCGACAAGCTCTGTCCCGCCACCCTTCAATACTTCGAGCATACCTTTGCCGCATGGGAGGCGGTGGTGTCGGGGTCTGAGTTTGCGGGGAAACTCGACAGTGAGGCGGTCAAGGAAACGCTCCCCGACCCCGAGGGCTATGGGGGTGACGACTCTCTTCCCGACGACTATCCATGGTGGTCGGGACTCGAGGCCTAGGCCATCCGAAAGGCTGGCCTAAGTGCTCAACTCGAGGTTCCCCCCACCCCCTTGGCCGGTCCGACCGCACTAGTCGGGCCAAGTGGGGCTAGTCACGAGAGGGAGGCTGGGGAGCTGGAGGTCGAACGGCAGAGGACTGAGCCGCTTGTCGACAGGGATGCGGAGCAGGGAGGCGAGAAGGATGCCAAGGAGGAAAAAACCGCGACCGTTGAAATGGAAGGTGGAGACGATACCGCCGAAAGGTCGGATGCTGACTCTTAGGCGTATTTGTCTAGTTTGGGGTTGCGCCCATGTTTTCGACTTTGTTTGGTTTGTTTATGTTTTTTTACAGCTTGGAATATAATGAATTTCATTTTGACCAATATTATCCTTATCCTTCTTGTTTCTCGATGTCGTATTCTATAGGCTTCATTGTCGTTGTTGTTTGCATTTGTTATTGGTTATGTCGTGTTTGACTGTAATCGCTTTTCTTATCTTTATCTTGCCATTCTCCCCAACCCTTCTTGCGAGCTGGTCGAAGTCGAGCAACGAGTTTAGCAACTTCATAGCTGATAAACGCAAGTTTTTCAACTAGTCTTCTCCCCAACCCTTCTTGCGAGCTGGTCGAAGTCGAGCAACGATTTTAGCAGCTTCATAGCTGATAAACGCAAGTTTTTCAACTCGTCTTCTCCCCAACCCTTCTTGCGAGCTGGTCGAAGTCGAGCAACGTGGATAAGTTTAAGTTTGCATAGTGTGTGTGAGGTTTCTTTCAATTATGGCGAATTTGTAGTTGTTTAAATTGACTTCATAGTCGAAGACTTCGTAGCCTGTTCGAGATTCTGCTCTTCGTAGTTGTGTTAGTCGACTTCGTAGCCTGCTCGAGATTCCACTCGAGAGTTTACAACTTCATAGTTGTGTTAGTCGACTTCGTAGTCGTAGGCTTCGTAGCCTGCTCAAGATTCTGCTCGAGAGTTACAACTTCGTAGTTGTCGGCTTCGCAGCCTGCTCGAGGTTCCACTCGAGAGTACAACTTCGTAAATGTGTTAGTCGACTTCGTAGTCGTAGGCTTCGTAGCCTGCTCGAGATTCCGCTCGAGGGTTTATAACTTCGTAGTTGTGTTAGTCGACTTGGTAGTCGAATACTTTGTAGTCTGCTCGAGATTTTACTCGAGAGTGTACAACTTCGTAGTCGAAGGCTTCATAGCCTGCTCGAGATTCCACTCGAGAGTGTACAACTTTGTAGTTGTGTTAGCCGACTTCGTAGTCGTAGGCTTCGTAGCCTGCTCGAGATTCCGCTCGAGAGTTTATAACTTCGTAGTTGTGTTAGTCGACTTCATAGTCGAAGGCTTTGTAGTCTGCTTGAGATTCCACTCGAGAGTGTACAACTTCGTAGTTGTGTAAGTCGACTTCGTAGCCTGCTTGAGATCCACTCGAGAGTTTACAACTTCGTAGTTGTTTGAATTGATTTCATAATCATCGGAGAGTTAGCCGGCTACATAGCCGTTTTGAAAAATTCAATTTTTCAGTCAATCATAATAAAGTCGACGCATAAACATAAGAAACATAATTGAAGCATAAACTTGAGATTCATTTCATCATTGCATTTGATTCGAACATTGTTCAGTACAAAAAGAAGTTTGAAACATTGCCTTAAGCATAAAAGCGTTTGAGATGGATCACGTGCCAGGATCGTGGGAGTTGTCGACCTTCTCCATCCTCGAGTTCATATGCACCTCTCTCGAGTACCTTTGTGATTGTATAGGGTCCTTCCCAGTTAGCTTCGAATTTCCCGACATGTTTGAGAGCGTCGGCTCGTTTGAGAACGAGATCCCCAACTTGAAAACGTCTGGTTCGGACCTTTTTGTCGAATGTTGCTCGCATCTTCTGTTTGTATTCAACGATCGCACCCAAGCTTCCTCTCGCCCTTCTTCTCAGTCATCAGAAACAGATCGGAGCTAGGTGTAAAACTCTTAATTCCTTCAAGAACTCCCCATAGACGGCGCCAATATGATGAGTCTACTCTCAGATATGGAGTGAACCGGTGGTAAGGAGCTCAGATCTGTTTGAATCGCCTTCGAACCGCTGCTAGACCGCGAGAACACCTGCAAAGAACTCAACGCCGGAGGTGTTTCCGGCGTAGAGCCTCCGACGCTCAAGTCAGTATATGAGAGAGATGAAAAGAGGCTGCGCAGCAGCTGTCAGGGAGAGTAGAGAATGAATGAGAGTTAGGGTTTGAGGTTACCTCGCCTCCTTTATATAGGAGTGAACACTTACTTGAAGTACCCGAAATGCCCCGATCGGCTGTCCTGTAAGGTCTAAATTGCCCCGATCGATTCGTCTCCCCTTGCTGCTGACTCATCATAAGATTCCTTCTTATCTTTTGGAGAATGCAGAGCCTTGAGTGTGTTACAAGTGTATTAAGTCGTTAGTGTGCCTCACGTCTCGAGGTAGGAGGAGTCGAGTCGACATCGAGCATGAACAAGTCGCCCCGGATCTGGCTACCCGGAGGCTACACTTTTGTTGGTCTTCTCAAGTGAATGTCGACTTATTTGGGAGTCGACTTCACCAAGTCGATGTACAACGAGTCGACTTGTATGATATTCACCACTTCTCATTACCTATCTTTGTGAAGAGTCGACTTTGAGTAAGTCGACTTGAGCATGTCGACGGATTCATGTCGTCATGCAAATGGTTTGGTCAATTCCCCGGTCGAGTAGGGGGCTTTTGGACCGGAATATCCTTATATGGCTATATCAACCTGGTTGGTCCCAGGTGACTAAGTTATGTATCAGTTCGACCACACCAAATCGATTATGTGACTTAAATAATATTTTATTATAATATTTATTTTGTACAATAAATATAAGGTTTGCAGAACTGGACCGTCATCGAAACGATCAAACTATTTTATTAAATCATTTGTGGTTTGTTCAAATTTTAATTTATAAACATTTTAATATATATATATATATATGTATATAGTACTTTTTGTAATAAATTTAAATAAAATATGTTACTTAGATATCTAAACAAATTATAAATTCAAATGTTTAAATTAATTGATAAATAATTTATAAATCTCTATTTTATTTAAATATATAATTTTATTTAAAATACTTTTAAATATAACAAAATTTATTTAGAAAATCGTATTGATCCTACCAGTCCAACCGACTGATGTTGACGGATTCAAGAACAAATATTTTATTCAAGCGAACTAGACTGGTTATAAACCAGTTCTTGGTCCATCCGGTCGAACTGTTTACAACCCAATTTAATTTAAAAACAAGTTATTTATATATTTAATTTATAATACAATCATAATATTATTCTTCGTGCATGGCACAGGCACGCACTAGTAATATTAAATCCAAAAATAATAAATTTATTAACAATTTTAGGAACCTGTCCCACCACTTCTCCCAGCTTCTTTTAAGAACCTTTCGGGCGTGCTTGTTTATGAAATATTTCATTCAAAATGAGTTATTTTAGTTAACTAGAGTTAATTTTGAAAAAAGTAGTATGGTTAATTATTAGTGGGATATAAATGATTGGAAATGATTATTAATAATTTGATGTAAAAGTAGGATATAAATGATTGGAAATGATAGGTAGTTAAAATTATGTGAGTGGATGAATAGTGAATTAAAATTGATGTGATATGTAAAAATGATTGGTTTATAATATTTAATTATATAAATAATATAAATAATAGTGGAGTTGAGTTAAAGTTGAGTTAGATTTTGAGTGGGAAATGAATTATTTCATAAACAAGCATGCCCTTCCTTATCTTAATCCCGTTCCCATTTTATGTCAATTAATCGTATAATTTCTCGTCGATTTAACACATTTCTTGTTTGGCCGAGGTTTTATGATAGATTTAATCTGTTAGCGTCACACGGGAACCTCTGAGTTTTTAGGTCAGCCATGGGAGTTGTAATCGAATCCGAAGTTTGGAAACCAAACCAGGCAGTGTTCATATTCTTATTCATCTCGTGCGTGTTATCAATCATCTGCTTGCCCACAAAATCAGCAGCAAATGTCATTGATCAGGCGCCTTTAGCGTCTTTTCTTCGTTTTCGGCACAAGTTTATGTTTCTCTACACTCTCGCATCAGGTCATTTCAAGTATTCTTCTTTACACACACCGCAGCGCACATTACCTATCACTGTTTAATACCAATGGCTTTAATTTTTTTGTGGCTGACCCTTTTGGTTTTTGGTGTGAAAAAAGTGATAGAGGGGTTATGGACTGTGTTTGGAGAGTACGAGCTGGCTTATTTTGGATTGAGTAAGGAGCAAATGCTCACGTCTCTATCCTTCGGATATGCGGTCTCGACGATTATTGGGAGTTTTCTTGGAGTGCTTTCTGATTTAGTGTGAGTGTAAAATACTTTTTTACTCATTGATTGTTGTTGCAACTTTGTTCTTATAAACTAGATAGTATGAATTTATGTTTGTTCTATGATTGTTTTGGTAATTAAAACTGTTCGTTTTTTGTAACATTTTTTATGAAAATTCGTTCTCTATTAGCCGGTTATGTTCCTCATAAGTGAATTGTCTTGATAAATGGTTTAATTTTTACAATGGTTTCATCTGTGCAGAGGTCATAAGAAGTTATGCTCGTTATTTTACTTGCTCCACATATGCTTGGCTGTTTGGAAGATAGTTGTTGGAAGTCCATATATTTGGTTCGCAAGTCTGTCTCTTTCGCTGGCATCTTCAATATATTCCTTCAGTTTCGAGACATGGATGGTAGTTGAACACGAGAAGGTAGGTCTTAAGGTTCATATGTAAAGTGTCTTGTTTGACATTATTTACAATTAACTACTATATTTATTGTAAAAGGTACATTTTTTGCAGCTTGGGCAGAGGCCAGACTCGTTGAATGATATGTTTTGGTCAATGACTTTTTTTGGGTCTGCATCTTTCATTGGCAGCCAAATGCTTGCAAATTATTTGATTGATGATAATGTGAACAAAAATATCAAGTCTACATGGAAGGGGGCTGTGATTCTGGCTGCTGTTGGTATTATATATACCACTCGTGGTTCGAAAGAAGCTCCACAAATAGCAACATTCAGGGATTATCTCATGTCGTTGCACAGACAAGCTAATAGTGGTATGCATATAAACTTACATTGGTTTAAATCAGAAAATTCAAGTCCTGTTCTTTTATCTTGTGCAGAATCGAAGGAGTTATAGGAATATATGTTAATGTGAGTAGTCCACTTGGAAAGTAATGTAGAATTTGAATGCTCTCCATTTCTATAAAGTGCAAATATCTCCTAGCAAATAGTGAACAAATTATCTTTCCATTTGTTAGATAAAAGAATATGGCTGTTGGCATGGATACAAAGTTGTGTACACTTTTCGGTTGCATCGTTTTGGATTCTTTGGGCGCCGACTATAGTGGTAAGATTTTGTCCTATGAAGTTTCCTGTTTGCTTATTGTAATGCTGTGAAGCTACATTGGTATTTCTCACAATGAGGATTACAAGATATATATACAAGCCAAAGGAAGTGTAAGAAAGGAAAATAATAAAAAAACCTTATCTACGGGATTACCATATACAATCTAATCTATACCATATTTACAATAACTCTCCCCCTCAAGTTGGAGCATATAAATCAATTATGCCCGCCTTATTACTAATATTTTTCATCCTTAATTACCCCATTTATTGCTTTTGTAAATATGTCCCGCCACTGATCTTTGGATTTGACATACTATAGTGATGAAACCTTCTTCGACCTTATCACGACCGAAGTGACAATCCATCTGTTTGGTTTGTTCATGAAATACAGGATTCGATGCAATGTGCTTTGCTGCTTGGTTGTCACACCAAAGTGTTTTTGGGAGAGCAAAGTATAATCCAAGTTCCATTAGTAACTGATGTATCTATACGATTTCACATACTGAATCGGCTATCGACTTACACTCTGCCTCAACAACTGAACGAGAAACAACATTTTGCTTCTTGCTTCTCCACGAATCTAAATTCCCTCCCACAAATTATAATCTATAAGTCGATCTTCTATCATCTTTGCAACCCGCAACCTGCGTAGTTAGCATTACGATATGTGTAGACTGCCCTAGCTTCTTTCGCCCTCGCCCATAAAACAATCCCCATCCAGGAGCCCCCTTCAAAGAGCACAAAAGAAGTGCTCAACCATTAACGGTTTGAGTAGACATAAATTGACTTGGCAACCGCAAAGGATATGTCGGGGTGTGTTAAGGTAAGATAGTTCAGCTTCCCTACAAGTTTTCGGTAATGTTCTGGATAATGAAACTACTCACCATCATCCTTTCACAACTGCAAGTTTGGTGTCATCGTAGTGCTGCATGGAAAATCCCTCTGCTTATTATCTCCACTCTTAGAAAGTATTTCAAGTGTCCCAAGTCCTTTCCTTGAAAATTCTCATGGAGGGAGGATCTTAGGTTTGAAATCCCCATAGTTTTAAATGGCGAATGGCGAGGCCTCGGCTATACATGTAGAAAAACAATATTATAGATTGTGCAATTATATATTTATGTTCAAATGGTAAAAATAACATCAAATATCTTCAAAAGAGGGAACAACACAAATGAAACACAAGCACCACATAAGGAAGAAAAAATAATACATAGTTTGGCACACGCATGGTTAAATACTAGAAATAAGCAACAAGTCCATATTACTGGATTTTTGCCCGTCTGTACTGTGAAAAGTAGAAGCTTAAGCATTCACTTAATTTTTACCCTGATTGATGGATTTTTGGCAACATGTAAATCACAGTGGCAGGCTATCATTTTTCTTTTGTAAATGTGAGATATAATTCAATAGTCTGATAGAGCAATTATTAAGACTCCGCCGCTATGGCCTTTTTTTTATCTAGTTGGTTATGATCATATGATAATTTACAGATAAAAATGAGAGATATTAATTTTCTTGTACGTCTTCGGTGAATTTACATAATTAACAGATGTGCCATGGTGCGTAGCATCTGGTGGTATTTTTGATAATTTGAGCCAATTTGAACTACAGATTTGTTGACTTTGAGATGCAACAATAGAAGCTTAATGTGCCACGAACTTCTGAAAAATAAAAGAGCACTTCATATCGTTACTGCATGCGCTTTTGGTCTTTATTCTTAAATAACATGGTACAAAGTTCATTGATTTATCGACATAGAGCTTTTTCACCTAAGCTTGATTGATTGGTCTTTCTCAAGTAAAGAGCTGTTTTGATTTGCCGTTTCCCTCCATCCCTCTGTATCTGTTGATCTGTCTGACTGCATGTGTCTCTCTCTCGCTGCAGTTGAGTCTTCGCAGAGTAGGATTTTGGTTTTCTAAGCTTAACGTGTTCATAGGTTAAACTAAATACCTTTTTTAGTTTCAAACTCTTTTTCTCTCAACATGTTTCTATTATGTCAAAAACTTAGTTTGACATGTATTATGATGTAGGCTGATGGAAGAGAAGTATTATTAGGTTTGATCTATCCTTGTTTGCTGGGTTCTAAGATGCTTGGTAGCGCCATATACCCTTGGTTCTTTCATGGACGACTAATGCTGCGAATAGAGGAATACCTATTATATGCCTTCATTATAATGGGCCTTGCTTTGTCAGTTGTTGCTTATGATTATCAGGTGTGCAGTTATCTAATCATTCATTACTTGGAGATCCATTTGTTTTATCCTCTTGCTTTAATATTGGAGTCTAAGATCTAAATGTTTTATTGTCAGGAAATTGGAGTTCTTGTGTCACTTTTCTGCATATTTCATGCTTGTGAGGGTGTGATTTCTCCATCTCTCGCCAGATTGAGAACCATGTACACCTATTACTGCTCTCTTTTTTTACAATAAGATCTTTATTTTTACAGAAGGATCTTTATCTCAGTTTAATAGGGTTATTTGTTTGGATAATGGTGATAACAATAAATTCCAATTGTATTTCAAATTAGGATTTCCTATTTGAAGTCTGTTTGTATCCACATTAACATAATGTGCGCCTATCGAGGATGTTATATGTAATATAGAAACATCCTTTGGCACTCTCCCTACCTAAAAGCATATGGATTGTGAGACATGTGGTTCACTAAAATTAGTTATAAACTTCTTTTCGTGTTAATTCATCTCCACAATCTGTGCAGGTACGTACCAAATGAAGTCCGTGGAGGCATAATGAGTCTATCTCTCATGCCAGCCAATGCTGCAATCCTTGTTTGTCTAGTCCTGGTACATTTTTAGGCCAGATTTCAGAACTATCTATAAATGGATTAAACTTAGTAAAAAATTTATGTTGTTCTGTAGTAAAGGGGTTGTTTTAACTGTTGTGGGATTTATGGCTTGAAGAATGTTCTTAAAAGATATCTCAGCCGTTTTCTTTTGATTTTCAAATTGCCACCAAGTTGAAATTGTTGAAGGAAGGAAAAAGACGGCTTGGTTGGATGTGGAAATGATGATGGCAATGGTTTTAGTCCTTTTTAACTATTTATTTATTTATTCGTTTCTCAACTTCTAGAGGGATAACATTGTATTCAAGTTCAATAACAAAAGATACATTGAGATTCAGTCTAGTCGCATAAAAACCCATGTAGCTTTCAACTTGACAAATACTCCTCCAATGTTTAGTCCATTTTAAATATTGCATTAACCTGGTCAGTGTAACCCCCTTTATGAGGAAGCACCTTTTCGCCCGAAGTTACAGGATTGAGAGGGTTATTTAAGAAAAACACAAACCTGAGTATTTGTTAAATTTTAAGAAAAGTACAAACCTAGTGTTCGGAAAATAATAGTTTTGTATGTAACTGTATCCATCCATGTACTGTACCCATCCATGTACTAAACATCTTAAATCATTGAAATTAGCACATTGCAAAAGTGCAGTGAATGGAAAATCAAGAAGGAAAGGAGAAAGAGATTCTTGGTCTGTACATCTCTTCAGTCATTTGTTTCTTTTGTGTGTCGTGGGGTTTGTGATAAACTCATTTTGCAGCTATAAATAATTGATTCTTCTAGATATATGATCAATAATTTAACTGTGGAAGATGAGTTCTTTCTGCTGTTTGACAAAGTTACAATACATAGTTATTATATGGGAGATGAGTTTCTCTTTTGTTTGATTTTGCAGAGAGGATATTATCAGGTAATCGCGAATTCGACTATCATCTTCTTTGCGGTACTCGGGCTTTTCTCAGCAGCGGGCTGCATGCATTTGCTCAAGAAATGGGGAAAGCAACTCCACCATAGTCGTCACCACTTGTGATCTATACGGATTGAGCCTTGAAGTAGAAAAACATTTTGAATGGTGATGTGAATGGCTTTCACGTATTTCATAAAGAAGTCCACAGAGTTCCCAATGCATGAAAAGAGAAGTCGGTGGTAACTACCATTACGGATGAATTATTTTTTCATCCAAATATGTGAGAATTGAGATAAGGTGGTAACTCCCCGACTCTCATACGACAATTTTGGCCTTTGAGGTCCTTCGAGCCTTCAACACTGCTAAGGGGCATATAAGCTTACACTAACTCAAACTTTGTTTCTTGGAGGGGTCCCTTTTTACTTTTATTTTTGTTAAAGTTGAGAAGTTACGAATCTCTCTCTCCAAGTGTTATATATCCGGCTATTTTGCCGAAATTTCACCCAGAGACTCATTTTTGCTCTATATTATCTGTTTTCTAGTAGTACACTACAGTTTCTTTGTCATTGGGAAACAATGCTTATGTTGCAACGAATATTATTGAGAAGAGGTCTAAATGGCTGATTATTGGCTTTATAGCGCGTATAGCAGCCTGTTAGAGATGATGAGGATCCCTCCATTCCGAGATGGGTTTTGATAGTTTAAATTGAGATTGGGCAGTGTTTCTGTTTATTCAAGTGAATATGGCTTATTTGTCCTCCAATTCATTAAGTTTACTTTTCTCATTAGGTTTTCATACTTGGTAAGTGGTGTGCTTTTATTATTTCCCCCTTCCATTCATTTGAGATTTTCTTTAAAATTTTAGAAATCTTGGTGTAGTTAATTTAGACTTTTTTAAGACTTTTTAAAACTTTTAAAAGTCTTGGGGTATTCATTTGGAATTTTAAAAAGTCTTACTAAATCTTGAGATATTTAACTTATTTGAGATAAATATTTGCTATGACTTTTTAAGATATGCCGCGATTTCTAAAGAAAAAAGCCTTATACGAAATTTCAGTCAATATCTCACTTTCAGACTTAAAATTTCACAGGATTCTTCAAAAATTTGAAAATCTTTAAAAGTCTCAAATCTTAAAATGTTTCAAAATGTCATTGGAAATTCTAAACGAGTACAATCCCTTAGTTCGTGAGTTTGTAATGAGTCAACAGTTATGAACCACTTTCACTTATCTTGGCCCAAGGTGGTGTGTAGAATAAATTGTTTTGTAAATGAGACTATCAACAAGTACGTAATATCCGGATCTCAAGTCGATGTTTCAGAAGATTCTAGCTCCTCGTAACTAGTCATACAAATGTTGGTAAGGAATACTTATTCATCACCGTGAGTTAATTTAATTCACTATTCGATGCACATTCTCAAAGTTCCGTCTTTCTTTTCCACAAACAGGACATGTATTCCCTACGGCAATACGCTTGGTCGAATAAACTTCAAATCTAAGAGTTCTTGCAGTTGGACTTTCAACTCTTGCAACTCCATGGGCGCCATCATATAGGGGGCTTTTGATACCGATGCTGCCCCAGGTACCAAATCGATTGTGAACTCTACTCCACTCTAGGCAAGTTCTCAAGACATACATCCAATTCATTCATTCATAATCGGCATATCAGAAGTAGACAACACTTGGGCCTTACTGCCCAGTATGTATACTAAATACCCTTGACAACTATCCTTCTGAAACATCCTCACAACTTTCATGGTTGAAATTATTTTTGTGACGTACACCATTCCGCCCCATAGAAAACGGTTTCTTTGTAAGGGTGAGTATGGTTATATCTCTTTCATAGTAAGGACTCTATTGGGCTCCAAGACACTCTACTATATAAGGGTGACCAAGTTCTACGTTCTATTCTTATCGCATATTCATACATTCAGTACGTATATCTCAGTTCTCTCATGAGCAGATTCTAATTTGAGTTTCAGAGGTTTTCCGTGGGACCCTCTGTCGGTATTTTGCAGGTTATCAGAGCTCAAGGTTGAGGGAAGCTCGTGATTTTCATGTTCAATCTAGTCCGTGGCAATTTGACAAGTCAGAATACACACTAGGTACATTACAACATATTGAGTCCTCTACCCTCAAATTTTTACTTGTTATTGGTAGAAAGTTATAACTTTACTTTGCTATTGGTAGAAAGTTCCAACTTGCAAAAAATTAAGGCACCTGCCTAGGGCTTCAACATTTTAGGTGCCTCATATATAGATATATATTTATGTATTATATATTTGTACATTTGTGTTGGGCTTGGCCCAATCCTTTCACATAAATTCATTTACATAAATTTAAAATTTACTTTCTTTCTTCTGCCCGAGCCGAGTTTCACTTCACAAAATCAAACGATTCAAACCCCAAATCTCACGTTTAATTGATAAAAAATTATCTTTGGTCAAGTATGTCTCAGGATAGATTGAATGGTTTGGCGATGTTATCCATTGAAAAAAAATAGTTATGAAACTTGATTATGGTGACTTGATTGATAATTTTGTACGACCCAAAAGAAGACGAGAAGGTGGTAAGTTTTTCTATTTTAATTTACTTATCTTTCTCCTATTCATTGTATTTTGTGTACTTATTATCGACAATGTTTATTATTATTTGTTCAATTAAAAAAATAAAAATATAAAAATACAATAACGGATCACTCTTGAATAAATTGTCTGGACCTCCAAATTTCTGGAGACGGCCTACACCCACCTAGTCATCAAAATTCTGTAAGCTCGAACATTCGTGTCAACTTGTTGCGATGTTCTTGACACGTTACGCCCCAATCCCAATCCCATTCCATTCTATGCCCCTTTTACCACACAAAAATATAAAATCTTTTCCGTTGGACAAAAACAAAAATCCACATATATAAAAATAAAATGTGCCCAAACAAAATTTTGTGGATATTAATGCCCCAAAACCATCCATCGAGTAGAAATCAGAACAAAATTAAAAAGAGAAGGCAATTAATCATAACTCTAATAAAAAAAAAAAATGCTCTCCATGAATTTGGTCCACGTAAATTAGTGTATTAATAGAGAGAGATGGAATGAATATCGCAAAAGTTGGAGGGATTTTGAAGGAAGAAGTGAAGTATGTTACGATTAAAGCTGTATTGTTGCTGTGTTGTCCCGATTCATGGCAGTGAACAGACAAAGTCCGTAGCCACCACTCTGAAGCTCACCTCAATATTTGTTAACAAGAAAAGTAGCAATATTAATTCATTTGTTGTTCGGGCATTGAAAGATGAGATGGGCGGCGGAGGTGCACCGGGTCAGAGTTGGGATCCCGGCTTGGAATTTCAAGTACCCTTTGACCAAAGACCCGTAACTTCTTTCTTTCTTTCCTTCTTTTCTAATTAATTTTTTTGAAATTTTTTATTTTATGAATTTCAATTTACAAGTGGGTCATTCAATTCAGGTGAATGAATATTCATCCCTAAAAGATGAGAGTCTATACTCCTGGGCAGATTTGGGGCCTGCGTCATTTTTCCTTCGGCTCGGGGGCCTTTGGTTGGTCACTTTCACGGTCCTCGGATTGCCTATTGCAGCGGCAAGCTTCAGTCCTTCTAAGGTACTACTCACATTTCAGAAAGCAGTGTACTGTACATAAAGCTATATGAACAACAATTCTGTAAAACTTGGTCTATACAAAATCAATTAAACTAATACATTTTGCAGGATCCATTACGCTTCGTCCTAGCTGCTGGAACGGGAACTCTTTTTCTTGTTTCGTTGATTGTCCTAAGAATTTATCTGGTATCTCATATTTATTTATTTTTTTTAATTTTTTTTTTGTGTAATAATGAATAAATTAATAACTAGCTTCTGTTAGCATGTTGCAAGATTTAAATTCCCCCAACTCTCCAAATTCATACATGGGGACAGTAATAGTTTTCTTATATTTAATTTTAGGTGAAAAAAAAAAAAGAAAAAGAAATTAATATGTCATATGCATGATAAAAGGCCTAGGACATCTAGACCCCTGGACAATATATGTGTGTATATATATAGGGGTGATCTAGGTTAAATAAATAAGATTGTTATTTTAATAACAATCTTATTGAAGCAAATTTTTATTTATTTTTGGTAGGGATGGAGTTATGTTGGTGACCGGCTTTTGTCCGCAGTTGTCCCGTATGAAGAGAGTGGGTGGTATGATGGCCAGATGTGGGTAAAACCACCTGAGGTTTGTTTCTATTTTTTGTCATAACATATAAATTAGCCTTGTTGTAAATGTGAAGTTGTAATCAACTTATGGAAAAGGTTCAGTTGTAGAATTGGATGTACAGCTGTGTTGGATCTCGATTTTCCTTTTCTGTCACTGGGAAGATAAACTGAACAGACGATTACGTATTCACGTAATGAGCTTCGGATTTATTTTTTGATTGGAATTTTTTTTTAATCTTTTTCATTTCCTCCTCATCTCAGATCCTTGCCCGTGATCGATTGTTGGGGTCATATAAGGTACGCATTCTGATACAAACTTTGCTCTATTTCACGAACTCCAGAAGCATGCACATAGCTTAGAATGTAATTTCAGAAATGGTGAACAGGACTTCTTTATTTTGTTGTTAGCTAAAAAAATTGTGTCATTTTAATGCACACAGGTAAAACCAGTGATCAAGTTACTAAAACAGACTCTGGTCGGGACAGGAGCCCTACTCGTTGCAGCTGTTTCATTGTTCATTTTTGCAACACCAGTTGAGGAATTTTTTCAAAGGGACTCTGTACAGAAAGGGAACATTTCCCAAACTTCAGCTTCGAAGATCAACATAAGGTCTCATTGGCCCCAGTATCATATCATATCATATCATATCATATCTCTCAAATAATCCCTAGCTTTTGCCTTTGTTCTAACAAAATCAAAGTATCACCGAAAATTAACCCATATTTGGTTATGTTTAGTAAAATTAGCTGATAAGGTAGCTGATAGTTGATAAGTATTTCTCGAGCTTATAGCTTATAACTTATAACTGAAAAACTAGCTTATGTGATAAATTTGTATGGTAAAATTAGCTAATAAGCTAGCTGAAATAAAAATTTTAACGAGCTTATTTTAAAAGCTACCCAAACAAGCTTATGAGATAAGTTCGAGCTTTTTAAAAAAGCTCGTCCTACCCAACGAAGCTTATTTGAATACAAAAAGCTTATAAGCTAATAAAATAAGCTATAAGTTAGCTCATTTGTTTACTAAAGGGTTATCTAGTATGTAATACTTACCCTTGGAAAGATTTGCAGACGATACATAATTTCTGCACTAAACTTATTCACAGGAAGGAGGAATTGTTGAGATTGCCAATGGAGGTGATTTCAGATGACGATTTAGCAGCGGCAGCTGCTGAGGCGGCCGACGGGAGGCCAGTGTACTGCAGGGACAGGTTCTACCGAGCCTTAGCTGGGGGACAATATTGCAAGTGGGAGGATCTACTTAAGTGATTAATGGAGTTCTTGTTATTATTTTTATTTTTGGCATTGTGTACAAGCTTATTAGTGATTGGAAGGTTGAGTTTTGATTCACATTTCAAGAATGTGAATATAACGTAATGTACGGGAAATAACAGAATAATATTTCTTCTCTCTCTTAGATAGGATTTGGTATGAAAGATTCTTGATGTTGTAACTTTTTGAAAATCAGTTACAAAAAATTTGGTTTGAACCAATTTTGATTTATTTTTTAACGGCTAAAGATTTAATTTCGGTTGAATTAAACTGAGTGAAAAATTTTATCTTTCAATTAGATATTCGTGGTATATTTATTTTTTCAAAATTGGTTTTCGGTGAGTGAGAAATTAATGATTAAAATTAGAAATTAATAAACACGTAAAGTATTAGGCCAATATCGATTCGTTCTGAGCTCCTTTATTAAATTGCTCATTCAATGAGTATTCTCAACATTATGCCTTGAAGATGACTAGAACCTCAAGCTCCTTTAGTAAATTGCTCATTCAATGAGTATTCTCAACATTATGCCTTGAAGATGACTCGAACCTCAACGCTCTTTAGCACGACATTTTGAGTCTTGTGTGTCTACCATTTCACCACCAAGGCATCATGAAAGTGCCTCTTATTCCATGAATAGGATATCTATCTAGTGTGATGTATGGAATATATGACAATTTTTTTTTAGGTATTTTACTGACACCGTTATAGTCGATAAAAAAGGAAAAAATCAAACTTAAATTAATAAAGAAATATCGAGTTTCGTTGTTTAAGTGTCATGACTCATTTTGGACTTTTAAATGAAATAAATCTATTTATTATAATAAAGAAAGTTAGATGTGTCACATTAACAATAAGTCTATAAACCAAGTGTTGGTGTTGGCATTGTCACGAGCCAGTCGGCTCGGCTTGGCTCGCCTCACCCCGACCACGGGGTTGGAACTTGGATCTTGGACTTTGGTCCTTGGCAATTGGACTATGAACTGTACTTGGGCGGTCTTAGACGATCTAGGCAGGTGTTGGGTTTAGATATTGGTCTAGCTCATATATATATATATATGTGTGTGTGTGTGTGTGTGTGTTCTGCAAATTTATGTGAGATATTGAGGTCCAAAATAAAATCTAAATTGAGTTAAATTTGACTTGTGTTTTTGACCTAACATGTGTAGACCTCTTCAAGTACAATATACGTGGACATCTTGATTCCACGTGACCATTTCAGAAGTTATCAAATGAAGTGGCGGTGTATTAATACCTAAAAATGGTCTGACCGTCTGATCCTATTACATCAACTATTAGTTGGTTGTTATAAGTTATTATTGGTTGTCTGGTCATGTGGGTGGAAGCTCCATAGGAATATTCTAGAGCTGCAGAAGAATACAACTTACATCATTTGCATAACACTCTATTGATAGTCTCATGCATTATACATTGTGCTCAGATCTCAACTCCACTTAAATTCGACAGAGCCCAAAAGTTTGAAATATTACAATTTTTGAGATGTAATCGTTGTATTTTTAGGGACGAAACTGTTGGGTTCGCTATACTGTACGGACTAAAATCACATCGGAAATTATACAATATAATTATCATTTATCAAATATACTTAATCCGTAAGTATATATAGCGAATAAAATGATCGGCATCTTTTAAAATCACGTAACAATACGAATTTTGATTTGTAGAGAATTTCGAAAATTACCTTTAATTTTCTTCAAATAGCGACGATGAAGAGGAAATCAATTCCCGGTTATGTGGCTTTCACCGTCTTCGTGTATCTCACCATAAGGGATCCAAGTGTCTCCCCTCTAATCGAGTCCACCTTTTGGATTCCGACTCCGCGAACAATTTCTTCGCTAGTAGAAATTTTCCGGAATCGAATCGGTATAAGGAATTAAATTGAGAGGAGAATTTTTTTTCTTTTTCAAAAATCCGAGAGCTTCTCTTGAAAAATGGGAGATCTATTTTTCTTGCGTACATCTCAATTCTCATATCCTCCATCTTTCAACTCATCTAAAGTGAGTTATTATATAAATGCTTATGGGTTAACTCCATTCTATTAAGCTATTTATTTCAAAACAACTCCACCCATCAATTATTATTTTATTTATTTAAAAATGGTAAGAAACTCCATTCCACCAAAACTAATTTTAAAATACTTAATTATGTAAGAATGAGGTGGATATGATAATGAAGATTCCAATAATTCATCATCATCAAATTTTTATTTTTATTTTAATTTTAATCTTTAATCTTAATTAAATATTAAATAAAAATAATGACATATAATTTATGAAACTAACTTTCAAAATTAATTGGTCAAAATCTTATCTCCCATGTAAAATAAAATCTCCTCTTTTAAGTAGGCTTTTAATATATATAATCATATTAATATTTGGATTTGAAATTTTAAAGTCCAACTTTAAAATCCAACTATTAATTTAGTAATTCCAATAATTACTTAAATAATCTAATTGATTAATTTATTTTATTCCTTTAATAGACATCTAATCAAAATTAGATTTAATTAAATAATTAAATTTATTTAATTAAGTCATGTCAATTAATCCAACTATTGAAAATACCAATTTCAAAATTGTCATCATCCAAAATTTGGTATGACCCTTTTAGGTTCACGATTTAACACTAGTAGTGGGTTTACAACTAGTTTGTAATTTAAATTAATCTAATTAATTTATATTCTTGAAATTAACTCCTTAATTTCAAGAACCCACAAATCATGGGAACACCTAGCAAGTAGCATGATTATCTAGTGTTAAGTGAAATAACGAGTAAACCTTTTTAATTGCAAGTGCATACATGTAAAATCCTTTCGACAACTAATTTCCCGGTTAAATCTTGGGCATAGTTCTATGTGTCGAAACCCAATTGATTTAATAACTATGATTCCATTTCAAGTTTAGTGATTCTCTTATGAATCCATATTCATCCCGCCTTGGCCAAGGTTTTTGAATCACAAACTATGAAAAACATAGGAAATTCACTTATCCACATAAGTGTCGAATTCTTTGTTGGCCACAGCTAAACCTCCATGCATATTAATACAGTACCCAAAATATCCCTTTTATGATTGTCCAGCAATCAAAGGATAAATCAAAGTAAAGCACAACATGCACAAGATTACTATCGTGACTCAAGTCAGAGGATCAGTCATGTACTATTGCAACAACAACAACAACAACAACATACCCAGTATATTCCCAACAGGTTGGGGTCTGGGGGGTCAGTTGTACGCAGACCTTACCCTTGTAATTATACAAGGAGGCTGTTTCCGTAGCGACCCAAGGTGCATTGCGCCGTTTCATATATTTTTTTTTTCTAGAAACTTCACTAATAGAAGAAGCACTAGAATTTAATTGAGCCATTTTGATCTAGTCCATTATTAGCACTATGCCAGGAGAATTGTCAACAATGACTCTTCCAGCTCCATTTGCAATGGACAAGTCATGTACTATTGCAACATGAAAAATTCTTATTCGACAGTTAAAACTTCCAGTTAAGAATTTTCATCGGGCCATGTTCAGTGAACTTGTTCTCCAACAAGCACCCGCATTTATGCATTCGCGTCCACACGCTAATGTTGATGGAATGCAACATTCTCATCCGATGAGCATACATCAGATGCACAAGTCTTACCGGGTTATTCGACGTCCTGTCTCAAAACACCCATCGACTTGGAACTTATTTAAGATCACAGCTTTAAAGACATGTTCCATGATTGCCATCATATGCGCAACCATGTCTCATAGCTAATAATGATCTAAGAACTTTATCATATGTGCAAATATAAGATAAATGTAAATACATAAAATAAAGTTATGCTTCAAAATAATATAATTTTCAATAAATTATTTTATAAGTAGAAATAAATATAATCTAATTGAAACGCCGGATATTCTACTCTAACGGAAACGTCTGAATCTCTCACCTCGGCTCGGCATATTCTCTTCCCCATCAAAATTTTGTTGTTTTCGATTTTAGTGACACTGAAATATATTAATTCAGTTCATCTATGTTTGACACGTACCTCATTCCAAGCTATGACAGGCAGGCAGCTATGTAGATACGTGGCGCAACCACACCAAACATGAGAATGGGGTAAAGATGAGACCTCGAAATGATAAATTTAGATCTGTACTCCATCT